AGATGCTTGAAATGAATCTGCAAGTCTTCTCAAGGAAGATAAGATTATCGAGACAGAGACCTCATTCCTGTCAAGGTCATTGTCTACAGACTTACAGACGTCTACAGACATCATCTACTTTAATGGCTTGTCTCAACCGACCCTTACCCCATGACTACCTTGCATCTGGAATTTGTTAAAAGACACTCCTTTCCCCTTTTTTTCTTTGCCTTTGTTAGCCACAACTATAAAACCTTCCCTCTGCCTTCCTGAATATGTGTTCCTGGGATGCAGTCCTAACAAATCCCAAATATGCTTCTTTTTGTTTAAGTCTATCAGAGTATACCCCATAATTGGTTGGCACTCAATTAAAAGCAACTTCTGGATTTCTCAAGACTGACCAAAGAAGCATAAGGTAGTTACACTGGTAAATACAGTTGAATACAAGATTATTGCCTGAGCCCACATTATAATAATTTATTAAGAACTGTCCACATAAAACAAAAAAGACAAAAATTTAACGAGAATTCATGTTTGAAGGTGTTGGTCTTTATCTCTTTTTATGCTGAGATGGTTTAAGTGTCCAATTCTCAGGGGTCCTAGCATTCTGCTTAACTCCATGGTTAGTACAAACGATTAGCTGGGCCTTTTACATGCACTGTCATATCTAATCCTCACACGACCCAAAGGTGAGTACTACTATCATCCCCATTATACAGAGGGGAAATTGAAGTGAAAAGTAATTTGGTGAGTTATACAACTAGAAACAGTAGAGCTGGGACTAAACTCCACTCTGGGCCTCAACCTGGCTTGTGACTTTATTACCGTTTCCATTTAAAGAGGATCTCAGTGAGCTGACACTGCTGACAGCCGTTTGCCTCTTTATGCATCAGCTTGATCACCTCTCCCCTTGCTCCCTTGAAGTCTGTACATTCTCTACTTAAAACAAAGGGGGAAAAGTTGAAAGTCCTTAAGTCTCAGATTTTTTGTTCTGTTTTCCTCATTATAAAAGAAAACCACCAGTCTCTTAATATATATGTGTGTATGTATACATATGAATTACAACCCCACTTACAAAAGCCCAGAGCCCAGACCACCATGTAGGCCTGAAGCTCCAGCCCAGGGAGCCCTGGAGCTGCCAGAGCTCTTCCCTTGCTGTGGCCAAGGTGATCACTAGCTACCTAGCAGGGAAGAAGTTTAATTTTTCCTTCCCTGCAGCCACAGCATCAAGAAAGAAAAGGGAATCCTGCCTTTTCCGTAGGCGGGAGGAAGGCTGGATGTTAGGTTTCCTTCCTGGCAGGTGGGAGACGAGTTTCAAGCGGCCCAGGTCACATTTTCCCACGGAACCAGGGATGCTAGCTGGTTCCTGGCCTTACCTGAAGCAGGAAGGCAGCACTGGGAAGTGTTAAGCCCTTGCTTTCTGCTTCAGAACCCTTCCGAATCCTGCTTCAGATTCTAGGAATGGGCCTTTCCCCAGACAACTCCCTTCACATGAGGCATGAACCATTTTTATCAGCAGACGCTGTTCCTGTAGGCCCAAATGGCCACAGCCTGTGCCCAGGAAATCTTGGATTTCATTTCGGTTCCCCCACAGAGAGGGAGCCTGTGTTCCCCCTCAAAGCTTCCCCAGGACTGTTCTTCCCTGTTGCTCTCTCTAGTTTACAATTAGTACCACTGACCCCAACTCCAAACCACTTAGCCTATTCACCTTAAGGAAGGGGTGGAGGGGCAAGGATACCCTACTGGGAGGGCTCCCTATGGAGGTGCTAGGGCACGACTGTGCTCGGGAGGCAGTGGTGAGGGCCCAGAAGGGTTTATGTTGGGTTGCAGGTATCTCTGAGGCAGCACAGGCATCCCTGGTCACTCTCCTCAGCCGACAGCTTTCTGCCCTTTCCCCTCCAGTGTCGGGGCACTCTCCAGGGTAATGTCCTTCACTTCATGCCTTCTCACTCTACATGTCCCACTCAGACTAGGCAAGCTCTCCATCCACAATTTCCCCCCAGGGCGCTACTTTGTGCAGGACAATACGGTCAATGTGTCACTTAACAACGGGGACATGTTCTGAGAAATGCATCATTAAACAATTTCGTCATTGTGCCAACATCATAGAGTGTACTTACACAAACCTAGATGGTATAGCCTACTACACACCTAGGCTATACGGTACTAATCCTATGGAACCACTGTCATATATGCTGTCTGTCATTGACTGAAATGTTGTTACACGGTGCATGACTGTACTTTGTTGTGCAAGACAGCGCTGTAAACTGAATGAAGTCTACCCCTCAGTCATTGAGACAACCAACCCCCCCTTACACATTTCCAGACCCCCTGGGCAGGGGTGCAGCACTGCTCAGTAGAGAAGCAAATGACTCCTGAATCTCCATCTCCAGCCCAGAAATCATCCCTGCACTCCTAGAACCAAGGTAATTTCTCAAAGACACCTTGATGTCCTGTCCCAGAGACATCTTACACTGAAACCTGATCTCATCATTTTCATCCACTCTCCCTTGTCTAGTAAATGACCCCACCACCTCCCACTCTCAAACAGACCTGAAGTCCTCTTGAATCCACCTAGAACCCTTTTACCCAGTTACGGAACCAATCCCACAACCACAGTCTACATTCTCACAACCACAAGCTACATTCTCTAGCCCATCACATTTTCTAGAGCCCTTTTTTTTTTTTTTTTGTGAGGAAGATCAGCACTGAGCTAACATCTATGCCAATCCTCCTCTTTTTGCTGAGGAAGACCGGTTCTGAGCTGACATCTATTGCCACTCCTCCTCGTTTTTTGCCTCAAAGCCCCAGCAGATAGTTGTATGTCATAGTTGCATATCCTTCTAGTTGCTGTATGTGGAACACAGCCTCAGCATGGCCAGAAAAGCGGTACATTGGTGCGCGCCCGGGATCCAAACCCGGATGGCCAGCAGCAGAGTGTGAGCACTTAAGTGCTACACCACGGGGCTGGCCCCTTCTAGGGCCTTTAGGCTACACCCACCCCTACCTAGCCCCTAATCCAGTCAGAGTGGATTCTTAAAGAAAGCGGACAAGATCAATTTTAAGGTGAGCTGCCTGCCCCCTCCAATCTTCAAGGCTTTGTTCTACAGAGCCAGCACAAACACACAGTCTGGCTGAACAGTGGCGGAGCCTGGGTTCAGGAATTAAGGCACAGCAGAACCTGGGGTTGTAATTCTGCTACCTATTAGGTACATGACCCTAAAGCAGGTCCTGAGCAGGTGGAGAGGCAGGTCCTGTCCACTGCTCCAGCTTCACCACTTGTGTTTTCAGTGCATCACACTATTTACAGGGCCAGTAAACAGGACCTGTTATCTTGTACCTCACGTATCTTTGCACTTGCTCTTCTATTTGCCTGAATGACTTCTACTTATCCTTCAAGAACCAACTCAAGTGGCATCCATCTCCTCTAGGGCCTCTTCCCTGCGAGGCCTTAACTCCCCACCGCCTCCATCAAAGCTCTCACACTCTGTTGTAATTGTTTACTTCATCTGTCTGGCTGCCTAGAGCAGCTTGGGGGTAGGAGCTGTGTCCGCCTCCTCTTCTCTGGGCCCCTGCCCCCAACCCAGTGCTTAGCACACAGCAGGCACACTCTCATCTGGAAAACGTTTGTGGAATGAAGGACCGAGTTTGAAATCACTCTGTAAGCTGTGTAGAGCTGTACCACTTTCCCTTCCTCCTAATACCATCTAGTGTATTACCATAATAAACACTAACTGTCACTTTAATTCAGGACCTTGGGTGGAGGCTCCAAGGTGAGTGGAGAGAGCACTGGAACAGGAGTCTGAGATCTTGTCTGGGCTCTGTTAACTAATCCAGCCTGACACCTTGGGGAATGGCACTTTCCTCAACTGAGGAAATGGAGATTTGGCTCAGGGCACTTCTTAATCTGGGGTCCACAGACCTCCAGAGGGTCTACGGAGGGGCTTGAAGGAAGTCCACGAATTCTCTGAAATTGCTGTCAAACTCAGTCTGTTTGCATTCTTTGGGGAGAGAGACCACAGATTCTCAAAGTCACGAAATGCTAATCTGGATAATCTGAGGCTCTCCAATCTAGATCCTGATGCATGTTTTCTTTGAGGAGGAAGGCGGTGCCCGGGAGCAGCAGAGACGGCTGGCACCCATCCCACATACCCACTGCCATCCCAGGCCCATCTGAGATGGACTTTGTCAAAGGAGCCCTGGCCCAACCACAGGGCTGTCTCTGCAGCTCTCTAACCTTTGGCCCCACCTGCCAGGAAGCAGAGGCAGGGTCGGGGGTGGGACAAGACCTATACATAATGCTCTTAAAGGGACAGGGGAGCAGGATCAGAAAAGAAACCAGATGTGGACCATGGGAGGTAAAGAGGAAAGGAGCTTTAGAGACATGGAGACTATCAAGATCCGGAAGTCTGGTACAGGCACAGGGAATACCAGGAGTCCTGGAGTTGGAAGGCCTGTGCTGGAAGGAAAGGAGAAAGATGCTGGCACTTTCTGAGTACCTAGTAAGTGCTGGGTATTCTCGTAATAAATCCTGCAAAGGAGGTTTTCAATAGCCCCAAGCAAAAGAGATTAAATACAAGCTTTTAGATGTCCCTCTGGTCCCCCTTTCTGCCCTGCACTGTCTGCCCAGAGGAGATGTTAGGGGCATGTCCTAAATCGGGCAGCCTCCCTGCTATCTCTTCCGAAAAGTGCAATGACAAGAGGCTGAACTACGAATCTGCAGCTGGCAAAGCAGGGAGAAGACTTCAATCATTTTGCAACCTTCCTAGACTCCGGCCACGTGCCAGCTACAGGCTAGGTTCCGGGAGGCACGCGACAAGAAGCTTGCTCTTAGCTCATGAGAACCAACCGCCGACCGCCCTCCTCCCCCAACAGGGCAACCAGCAGGGATCTGGGCGGCCAGGGAGCGAGTGGTGCGGGGCCCGGCCCTGGGCTGGAATAGGCGAGCTGGGACTGAGGCTGGGCTCGGAGACGAGTGGGACAGGGTCGGGGTAGGCTCCCCACTCCCCTTCCCGTTTTACCAGGCGCAGGTCCCCGGGTCCGTGCACCACCACGGAGAGGTTCTCGGACTTAGCCGCCGCCATGTCGCTCTCTCCCTCCCGGGCCCAAGCCGCAGTCCGCAGGACGCGCGGTGGTTCTGGAGGCTGCCTGCAGAGGGTCGTGGGCAACAGGCGGGAGGCCGGGCTTGGGCTAGGCTGCGCGCGCCCGGCCGGGGGCGGGGCTTCCTCGTCCCTGACAGCCGGGGCGGGGCTAGCGTGGAGGGCGGAGCGGCCCTGCTTCCACCCCGCAGCGCAAGCCCGAAGGGCATGGGGAGGGTGCTGGGAGGGGCGAGATCGATCCGCTGCTTCCACCTGCGACGCACCTCTTATGTCGGCCTCACATCCAAGCAAACGTAGCTGCCCTGAAAGTAGCCTGCGGACGCAATAGCCGCCAGACTAGTGTTCTCAAACTTGAGCTGCAGATGAATGGGGTTGAGCAATGTGGGGCAGAGTCTCAGGACCAGCACTGAGACTCTGATAAGTCTAGGTTTGAGGTGAGGCCTTAGGGTCTGTGTTATTAGCACTGGGAATGCCGACGCTGCCGGTGGGGCACGGTCTACACTTTGAGGAACAGGTGCTACACTGATGCAGCGTCCATGTTGGCCCCATGTCCCCAGTATCCATGAAAGCGCCTGGCACGAGTAGGAGTGAGTGAATGAATTGGTGCATCATCCCATGAGCCTGATGCCTCAATGTAAAGAAGCTGTGAAATGAAATCTGTGAACCCCTTTCTCTTAACTGGCTCTGCGTCTTATAATAGAAGCAAGATTTCTGCCTAAATTCTTCCTTCAAGCCTCTCTCCCCTCTGAGAAACAGTCAAGTTTTACTATAAGGGGAGAGAGCTGCTCTCTGGACAAGCCTAAGACCCTAAAGGCCTCTCCTTTCAAAACAGTGCTCAGGATTGCATTCCCTACATTCTCCTCCTCCCCCAGACACCCTGCCGGATCCTTTTACCTCCTCCAGGAGACTTCCCCCAGTGCCCCAAGCCCTTGAAGATGTCTCCATGTGGCATTTACTGCATGCCCCACATATGCAACACACTCTGTATTTTCACCGGTGATCATTCCTTCCTCAAATGCACTGGAAGCCCCCTGAAGGCAAAACCTCATTTCTTAAACAGAATCTAGTAAAATGTTCTGTACAGTGTAGGAGCTCAAAAAAAATATCTAATGATGAACGTGGATCAAGTTCTGGAAGGCCAATAATGACAAAAAGGGAAGTGTGTGTGTGTGTCTGTGCGTGCGTAGGGCAGAGGGTGTTACAAGGCATAACAAGACAATGGAATGGATTTTGTGGGGACTCACAGAGTCAGTGGTGTTCTTTGCTTTGACACACCTCCCACAAGGTTTGGCTGTGCTTGGCTGGTTCCTCCTGCAGCTCCTGCACTAGGCTCCTGAGCAGGCCTTGAAGAGATGACTCACTAGGGGTTGCCTGCCTTTATTCATACACCTGAATTTAAAACTCAGCTTCCTCTCCTTGCCTTGTGGGGTTTCCTCACAGTCTCCCAGCACGCCTTTCCAGTGGGTGACGCTGAAGATGGAGACAGCCTCAGGAATGCGTAAGAGCTGAGGGCTACTTGAAGCAGACACTTCTTGAGTTTTAAATTAAGGAAACAGAACACTAGAACCAAAGCAAAAGTCACTAAAATAATGACACAATAGCCACACTAGGAGTAGTATTTGTTTTCTCCCGAGCAATGACACTTTGAAACTGTCTTGAAGGTTGTTGCCTAAGGGCGAAGAAATTTGGAAGAGCCGGAGACAAATTTAGAAATATATTGTATGACTAGGGCCCTTTGTGGAAAAGCTAAAAGGGTGAGTTGAAGGATTCTGAAGAAACTGATATTTTTAAAATAAAAAAGCAAATTGTCATTATAGTATTTAAACAACTTATGACATTTTTACACAGTTTCTTAACAGAGACCAGCATCCACAGTGGTGAGGAACAGACTTTTCTAGGCATTTTACTGAATAAGGGATAAAATGCTGGCTTTCCCTTTGCTGGTGGCCTGCTTGGCACAGCTTCTCTGGGCCTTCGCCTAACTTTCCCAAACAGCACAGCACTTTCAGGCTGTGTTTCAGGCTGTTCTCTCCACTGAACACAACTTCAACAGGTTGTTGATAAGTTTCTGCTGTGAAAACCTATTTGGAATTTAAAAATTAAATCACAGGATGCATATCTTCTGGGGTCACACATCTAGAAGAAGGGAGACTTTAGCCCAGGGAACATCTTATCATTGTATCAGATACTGTGTTACTTCAGGTCCAGATTACACAGTGTGCTAACAAGAAAAATCAATGTGCTACAGGGCCTTAGTGTTCCAAAGGTCGAAAGTGTTGTAAAATCCTGATTTCCAGATTTCTCCATTTGATCATCAACTATTCAGTTACTCAAACCTGGTTACTTACAACAAAAGAAAAAATAAACAACAACAACAACAACAAAAAACCCAAAAAGAAACCATGAGGTTTCTTGCAGACCTGGGAAATAAGGTTACCAATGAGAGTTAAACTAGTAAAATCCATATGCAATGGATGAGATTAATGGACTTCCCTAAAGAAGTAGTAACATATCTGCCATTAACAAATCTCAAGAAAGAGTTAAGAAGAGTTAGGAAAAGGGACTCAGAGAGTAGGAATTTTAGTTTAGAACTATCCAGGGGAGAGAGGCACTTGGTGGTAGTGGCGGCAGTGCTGCTGGCACAGAAGAGTGGAGGCAAGGGAACCAGTTAAAGGTAACTGCTACATGCCAGCTGAGGATGGTTGACCTGGGCTTGGATAAATGGTGGAAGCAGAGATGGAGTGAAGTGGATAGATCCAAGATTTATTTTGGAGATAGGTTCCATGGGACTTGGTGAGAGATTGGCTCAAAGAAGTTGAGGAGAAGGTAGTAGAAACGTTGACTCCCAGATTTCTGACATGATTAACTGGATGGATGAGATGCTATTATCTGATGTGAGCAGCACTGAAGAAGCAGGCACAGATTTGGGGGAAAGATCAAGCAGGTAATTTTGGATAGGCCAAGTTTGAGATGCCTGTGGGACATACAGGTGAAATGACCACGTAATATAAGGGCATGTTTGATATAAGGGTCTAGGAAAGTCTAGGCTTGGAAAGTCTAGACTAAATTCAGAAGTCATTGGTATACAGACTGTCTTTAAAGCAATAAGAGAAAATGAGATAATCTAGGGAGAGAGTATAGAATGAAAAAAGAGACAGCTCAGGTATAAGCTTTGAGCTTCCAACTTGGAGGGACCAGGAAAAGGAAGAGGGACCAGCAATGGATCCTGAGAATGAGTGAAGCCATAATAGGAAAAGGCAGTGACTTAAGAAGGAAGCGGTCAACTGTTGAATACTGATGAGAAGTCAAGACAGAAACCAAAAAGTGTCTAGTGGATTTAGCAACAAGGAGGTCATTGGTGATCATGGAGAAGAGTTCTGGTGTGATGATGGGAGCAGGAGCTATATTAGGTTGGGATCATTCATCCATTCACTCAGCAAATATGTAATAAGTATCTGTGACATGTCAGGTACAAGGTGTTGGGAAGACAATGAACAAGACAGAAACAATCCTCACTTCAGAGAGGGGAAACCATTAAATAGATAATCACAAAAGTAATGACATCCATAATAATGGTAAGGGCTATGAGGAAAAAGGTAAGGATACCATGAAAGTGTGTAACAGAGGAACTCGGTTCAGCTTGAAAGCAAGCGAAGGTTGCCCCAAGGAAGTGATGTATAAGCTGTACTTGAAAGACTTGGGTCATCACAGCAGTGAGGTGAAGGAGAGAGAGTGTGTGTTCCAAGCTGAAGGAACTGCACACATGGAGTCCTAGAGAGGGAGGAGACCATCATTAAAAGTCAGCAGTGTGGCAGGGCCACAGTGAACAAGGGGCCCCAAGCCAGGGCTGTGCATAGGTCTTTCAGTGTTTCACATTGTTGGAAATGCAGGAGTGCAAGAAGAAATGTGGTGAGAATGCCTGTGGCCAAGGCGAGGAGTTCACTCTGAAGTACAAAGTCCATTTTTGCAACAAGAATAGGGAGCATAGCTTGGTGGTAGGAGGTCCCAGAACTGGTTTGGTTCTGAGAATAAGAGAAGACAGGGTTGAATAAGGTGTCCTGTTGACAAGCTTTTATTTCAGGAGACAATGGGGAGGAGCTGGTAGGCTGTATTGTAAGCAGCCCAACAGCTGCCCATCTTTGTAGCTGGGAAAAATAGGAGCTAAAAGCTCTTATAGACAACATGGGTTATAGGGGAAATTCCTGTTAGCCTAGAACTCAGCCTTGTCCTCTTCCTTCATGTCATGTCTACAAATAACTGGTCCAAGAATAATTCACCTTTAGGGGCCAGCCCGGTGGTGTAGTGGTCAAGTTCGCATGCTCTGCTTCAGCTGACCAGGGTTCACAGGTTTGGATCCTGGGCACGGACCTATGCACCGCTTATCAAGCCATGCTGTGGCAGGTGTCCCACATATAAAATAGAGGATGATGGGCACGGATGTTAGCCCAGGGCCAATCTTTCTCAGCAAAAAGAGGAGGATTGGCAACAGATGTTAGTTCAGGGCTAATCTGCCTCAGAAAAAAAAAAAAAAAGAATAATTCACCTCATTCAGAAATTAGTTTTCAATAAAGGACCAGAATAGCAACATGTAACAGGAAAAAAGGAAGAAAGGAAGAGGAAAAGAAATGAAGACAAAGAATATTCACCAGAAGCATATTTCTGAAGAGCGAATGAAACTTTTGATAGAAGAAAATGCCATAAAACTGAAGAGGGCATCCACTGTGGAGGCACTCCACACTGGGGGAAAGGAGGAGGCCAGTGAGGGGGTGGGGGTGGGGCAACACAGGTATGGGAGCCTGAATGGGATGAGAAGGGCATCCACACAGGGGAGTGGTAGTAACACTGGGTGCCGAAGCCCTAGAAAGGTGAGGAGGAGTCCACCTGGGGGGAGCACAGTGCAGTGTTAGGTGAGGGAGTATGATGAAGAGGATGACCATGGGGAGGGGCTTAGGTAGGTGGGGGACAGCATCTGCTCAGGTGAGGAGGCAGCCACAGAGATAAGAGATTGGTACATAGGGGGGCTTGATAAAACAAGTAAATATGTCAAGGATGATGGGAGTGAGGGTTTTCACTGTTAGAGAAGGGAGGTACAAATATGGAAAGAAAGAAAAACAGAATGAACCCTGCGTGGTGTTGG